AACTTTTTTTTCTAGCTCTTACCCTTTTTGAGTTATCTTGAAAAAGCCCTTTGTTTTATCTTTTTCCACCCTTGGCCGGGGGTTGAACAAAAAATTACTCTCACTTATTGTTATAATATATCTTAAACTAACTCATATAAAAAATTCAGCGAAGTTGACAACATTTCGATTTAAAGGCTTAGTTAATTGGACTACAATGAAGCTTTCGAGCTGAAATTTTTACCACTTATTAAGGGGGTAAAAAGCCTCAAAAATTCTGAATTACAAGTGTCTGGGATGAAAATTGCATTAATTATTAGCAATTGAAGAAAACGGCAATTTTCGACCATTTTTGAGCTCTTGTGCATAAACAAATTATCGGAATTTAATCGGACTTTTTTCATTTTATAGGCTTATTTAATACCTACTTTTTTTTGTATAAACATTTTTTCGCTATGAATAATAGCTTTTTTGCGTGAGTCAAAAAACCACTTTTCCATAACTTTGACCACTGTTAAAACAAAGTTTCCCAACTAGCCTCGAGTTGATTTTTTGATATTTTATTTATAATAGGTTTCCGAACAATATTCCGCAGAGAAACCTCTAATAGTATTTTTTTCCCGAAACAGGCTCTTTCATGTCTATAATGACTGGGCTATCAACATTATCATCTTCATTAGAACTGGCAAGTAACATGCTAAAAACTATGCAAAGTTATCTAGAATATCTTGTGAGGTATTCAAATAATGATCTCAATATATTATTAAGCTCCTTATTTATCTTTAAAACATATAAGGGATAATTTTATTATAATTTCTCTAATATTCTATTATCTCTAGAATTTATGTATGTTTTTCTGAAACTACTGGTACAATCTAAAATTGCAAATAGTGTATCAAATATTTTTTATTGTAAAGATTACGGTATAAAGTTTTGAAAATATCCGTGCTAAAATCCGCGACCGAGCAACAAATCACGTTTCAGCAACTGTCAAAATAACCACCGGAACAATACACACCAGGAATAACCTCAAAAAGTCTACAGATTTTCCAAACACAAAGCGAGCTGGTGCACGAAAAAACTGGAACTTCTGCACTCACCTGAACAACCTTGACCATCAAAAGACGCACTCGTAGCCCTTTTTATGGAACTAAAGAAACCGCTCATTGGTACATCCCTTGCACCAGGTCATATCTAGTTACAAACTGACTGCACATTTCGCTCGACAGCGTATCAGGTGTAGAACGACTCGGGCGCAATCTGACGCTACGAAGGCGTCGGGGGCGTCCTTTTTCAGCGCGCGTCGTTAGAAAGGGCGCGCGGCACGACGCCGACGTTGCCGAAACTCCGGGATTGTTCCTGTAGTGCGCTTGATCGATGGCTGGGGGAGAGTGGTGCAGCCGGAGTTGTTAACCTCGTTTTTTTGCGCGGGCGGAGATTTGTTTTGGAGCCGGTAGGAACGCATTTCCTACAAATATGTTCAGAGATACGCTGTAGTACGTTTTTTAAGCGTATATTTAACATATCATTGTTATAGTTAAACTACTTGTCCGATTTTGAGCATGTTTGGAGGAATATTTCAAATATTTCGCATCAGTTTATAGGAAAAGTAGAATATACCTACGTTTTGTAGTATTATAATTCTACTTTTAAAATCCGGCTGAAGAATTAAAATCGTACCACCTCTAACTCACCCAGAGAATTTGCAAAATAGTGCACCAAAAAATTCAAATTGCAATTGTGCCAAAACTAATGGTTCGACAGCGCCTGCTTTGCGCACATTTAAAGTACATATAATTCACTACTTTTGTGCACAGGGTCAGCTCTACAACTTAAAAAATGTAGGAGTAATGAATTTTTAAAAAACGTTAAATTTTTCCGGGTTTTCTTCGTTTCTAATTATCCGATCGAATCGATCGACCTCTCGTTTTATTCGTATTTCGATTCTCTACAAACTGTCTCCTGATAGCATTCAGACTGCTTCGTTAGTTTAGGTTTTATAAGCAGAAAACTAAAAAAAAAAATAGTTTTTTTCATAAAAATGTTTAATAGTAAATTGGAGTAGGAAACATACAGGGTGTCCTGAAAAGGATTGACAACGCTTGACCACAGGTTCCTTGGATAAAAACAAAACTATTTAGCCTAACTTACCTATATACAAAAGTGCACGCCTACTGAGATATAGCCTTCTAAATATAGAACAGATAACCTAGTTTTTTTTTTCAAATAATTTGAAAACTATTTTTCTTAGAAACTTCAAATTTGGTACAATATTTTTTTTATAAAAGGGCAATGTAAATATAGAATTTGGTGAGAATACATATACAGGATGTTCTCTTTCTAGTGCCTGTGCGCCACTGGCTATCCCATAACTTTGTTGTGTGTATGCCAATGACGGCAGAATTTATATTTTTAAAAATAAGCACTATTTTAGAAGATTTTTTGCCTCTTACAAAATTTTGATATCGTTTATTGATTTCGAGTAAAATTGGCATTTTTTACACATTAAATAATATAAAAACAGTTTAAGATAAATAGAACATTCTAGTACGAGGTGCCATATAACAGAAAAACAAATTCATAACAATAATTAAAAGGTTCTGTGTCAAGCTAGCTGTGATTTAATTTTAGCTTACTTTGTTTTTTATTGCAATTTATACTTTTGCTGAACAAACTGATATGTTAGTAGTTTTGGGTTATTGTGAAGGGAATTGTTGTGCCACTATTCGAACATATGCTGAAAGATTTCATAATCGAAGAACTCCAAATCACAAAACATTTGCTAATGCGGAGAGACGCCTTCGGAAAACAGGACGTTTTTTACCTGTAACATTAATTCGTGGATAAGTACGGCCGGAATTATTCAGCTGGAGGAACAAATTTTGGAAAGGATCGAAGAAATTCCTCAAGTAAATAAAAGGCGTTTAGCGGCAGAGGTGGGCTTTCAAAAAGTTCCTTTAATAGAGTATTAAAAGACCAGTTATTACAGGTTACAGGTATTACAGGGTACAGGTAGGTATTACAGGTTATTAAAGGTCTAACAGGTGGATAGGTAGAGGAAATAATGCCCCTTTAAAATGGCCACCTCGATCTCCGGACCTAAATCCATGTAATTATTTCATTTGGGGAGCGTTGAGGACCACAGTTTAAAATAACTTTTCAGTAAATACAGAAAACGAATATGGGAAAGAATACAACATGAAATTAATGTTATGAGAGGTAATGCACAATTATTGGATAATTTCTAAATTTCGAAGAACTAATGTTTGCGTTTAAGAACAAGAAAATAACTTTGAGCATTTACTGTAATATTATTTTAATGTGATTACAAATATCAGTTTATTTAAAATGTTAATGTTGACTTTTTTACATTATTATATGATATTGTTTATTTAAAATATTAGTGTTGATTTTTATTTTATTGATTGATAATACTAATACCAAAAATATGTAGTTATTTTTTTAATGTGACGTTTTTTCATTATTATTCCCTGCTTTGAGGCCGCAGTTATAAATTATTTTTTATAAATAGGAATTTTTGCCTATATTTAATGTATAAAAAATGCGAATTTTACTCGAAATCCATAAACGATATCGAAATTTTGTGAGGGGTAAAAAATCTTCTAAAATAGTGCTTATTTTTAAAAATATAAATTCTGTCGTCATTGGCATGCACACAAAAAAGTTACGGGATAGTCAGTGGCGCACAGGCACCAGAAATATAACATCTTCTATATATATTCTCTCCAAATTCTATATTTATCTTGCCCTTATATAAAAAAATAAGTGTACCAAATTTGAAGTTTCTAAGAAAAATAGTTTTCAAATTATTTGAAAAAAAAGTATCTATTCTATATTTAGAAGGCTATATCTCAGTGGGCGTGCATTTTTGTATATGGGTGAGTTAGGCTAAATAGTCTTATTTTCATCCAAGGTCCTGTATAAGCGTATACATATCTACAGACTGTTTTTTATATGATGGCACTGTCCGTTTGCTATTAGTATTTTTGTCACAAAATCGCTGATTTATCGTGTAAACGCACCAGATGATTTTGCATTTTATTGATGACGGTAGATTTTTTACTTATTCTAAGTTATTTTACTATTTTTTTTTCGATTTTCTATAAATTACCTTCAAAATAGGGTAAAAAATGTATTTTCAAATCCTGCTTCAGTTTATAGTGCAAAATAGAGACATTTTATCCGTTTTTAAGACTACTCTAAAACGTTAAATGCGTTGTTGTTAATAATGTTAACTTAGAACAAAATTTTGTACAAGTTTTTTAATGTTCTTGTTTTGTAGTAAATAATAAAATACCCCGTAGGTTTGTAGATAAGTAATTTCAAAAGAGAAAATTATTCGAAAGTCTTCAGTTGAGTTCTTCAAACTTTACTTATTATCTAAGCGTTGTATATACCCTATCGATTATACTCACGTTTAGCTAGTTGCCTTGTGATGATGTCACAGTATGCTTCCTGCTGACGACGCAGGGCATCGCGACGTTTCAGTCGTCGCACCAAGACGCTGCCCATGCGCTCAACGTACGTGTTCAGGCAGCTTAGGATGGATTTTAGTTCTGCGGTATCTGGAAATGCAATTATCTGCTTAATATTTCACGTGGTGAGGGTTTGTTTTTATTGTGGGGCATTGGGGAATTGTAAGTAGCGCTGTGAGAGGTTAGTAGCTTTCGCGATTTTTAAATTACGAAAAATTATTACTATATAGGTTCATTTTTATAAGTGGTTAGTGGAATAAAATAATGAAAATGGAAATTTCAATCACGGATTTTCATTTAACTGATACTTAACAGGGCATTGTTAAAGATAATCTTTCATTCTACCCCAAAGATTAAGTACTTTTTAATGCAGTATATAAATCTTTATTTTCTTTCCCCACTGCGTCAAAACATCGAATTATTTTTTAAACATTACACCTTCATTAATTTTCAACGAAATATTTTCTAAACATGTTGCGTTAAAGTTTGGCATCGTAATCACACCCTTATCAAAAGAAAGAGAAAGATACAACTTTTTAGAACGTCGCATGAATAAATTTTATATTCAAAAAATCCCTACGCGTAGGAAACAGATCCAGATTTCATGATACACCTTTCCGAATGATGTATTCCTGTTAGATCTCCTTTCAAGGTTGAGCTGGGTTTCCGTTCCGTTAGGAAATCCTGAATCAGCGAACTGAGCCTCGGCGAAAATTGAATACAGTCGGGACACAGGGCTTGGGAAAAATTTAGATCACGACCTAAATTTCCATGAAAGTGAATTATAAGGGACTGGAACGGGATTTTGAACCAATTTGATGCCAAATTGTTTTTGGCATTGAGATTAGGATGAAATAGTACCTACATTTGTTTATAATAATTAAGAAACAATGCGGTTTAGTTTTTTCGTAAATGAAAGAAATTACCTACTTAAAATTACAAAAGCAATACATTACAATTCAAATATTATTAAGTTTATTATTTACAATTATTTATTTGTGGCTATACTTACAGGATAACATTCATTCATAAGGTATACAGGGTGATTCATAAATGGTGAAAAATGAAACCTCGTATTCTTTGGTGAATTTTAAAGGGAGTCTTTCCTATAAAGGTTTTACCTGGGACGCTTCGTTAAAAAAATACAGGGTGTTAAACTTAAAAACAGTTTTTAACTTTTTCAAATAATTTGAAAAGTAGTAAGTGAAATAATTTCAATTTTCGTTTAATTTTAACATTTATTTATATAAACTTTGTCCAAAACTTGAGGCTTTTTCCTAAAATTTAGATGCTCCAGTGGCGGAGATATAGGGAATTGGTGGCATATTTTTCTAAATAAAACGCCACTGTTTTACTGTAACAATCATGGTATTTCTCGTTTTTAAGTTTTTCTCAAAAAATGTATGAGAGTAATAATTTGCAGAAAATTGAAAGACGAATCCCAAAATATCAAGATTGTTACCGTAAAGCAGTGGCGTATTATTTTATTTAGCAAAGTATCCAAATTTTAGGAAAAGGCCTCAGATTTTGGACAGTGTTTACATAAATACATGTGCCTAATTTCAAATTATTTCACTTACCCACTAGTTTTTAAATTTATAAAAAAAATTAAAAACATTTTTTTAAGTTTAACACCTTTCTTTTTAATGAAGCCTAGATAAAAATTTTACACTCCTTTTAAAATTCACGAAAAAATACGAGGTTTCATTTTTAGTCACCGTTTGTGAATCACTCTGTATAAATGTAAATAAACAAATACTGCTTCAATTTAACATATCCTCCTTTATATGAAATATTGTTTAGGATAATACAAGAGTAATTGATGAAAATTTAATATTAGTAAAAGAAAAATTTCATTACTTACGGTGTTTTTTTGTTTTTTAATCTCCCAGATTCTTGATTTTCACTTTTCGATTTGATTAATTTAAATTAATTATTCATTTATGCAGTTTATATTTTATTTAAAAGAAACAATTTGGAAATATTAAATTTACGTTTTAAATAAATATCTGCTTTTCATAATCTCTAGCTGAAAACTTAAACTAATTAATCTTTAAGTCTATATCTACTACAGAACTGTAATCGTTTTAGTCGTTTCCTTACTATCTTCTTTGGACCGTGGAACTTCCGGTATTTGCGCCGCGTAGTAATTTACCTCCTTTCTCGAAATTTACACTGCACAATGCTTATCTGAAGATGTATCGTAGTTTGTTAGACTTCAGTTCTATTTTACTGCTTGATTTTCTGGTTTTACTTTTGACAGTTATTTTGTTTATTTGTTTCTTCTTTATATTCTTCTTACTGCGTTTCCTTTTAACTCATATTTCACTTCACTTTTAACCTCACTTTACTTTTCTTTCTGTTTCAGAGAGGTGTTTGCCTCAACACGGCTTTATCCAGAATGTCTACGACAAATTCTGACAATTCTTAAATAGATTTTTGCTAAACAAAAGAATACGAAGGAAGAAATTGTCTATTTTATTCCACAAGTTATGGAAACATTTCGTTAAAGCGACTTCCGTTTTCGCACAACCTGCACCCTCAATCTTTAATACCATAATGCTTGTCATCACACTTAAAAAAGCCTAATCCCCAAACTTTTAATTATATTATAACTTCTCTCGAAATGTAAAACGTCCAAAGTAATTATAACGGCTAATTAAGGGACTGCGACAACTTTTCTTAATTTCTGCAGAATAAAATGGAAAGTTAAAGGCTGGTTGGCCGGTAATTGATTTTTCCCGGGGATCCTTTTCTTTTTTGGCGTTTTAAATGACCCTGTTTTCACGTAAACTTTTAATGCCCTTAAATGTTCGTTTTTTCTTTTCGCTCAACAACGAAGTTGAATTTTGAATTACTTACTTTCATAATATTGAATGTATTTTTTGCAAAAAACATGGAAAATCATGGTAGGTTTCAGTTATTTCAACAATGGGTTTTAATAAGGCCTACAAATATTTGTACGATAATTTTAATCATCTTGTGTGAGTCAATTACAAGACAATGCTCATGAACGTAGTAGGAAAATAAAGGCAGGGATCATTCTGTTAAAAAATTTCTAATTTAATAAAATAATAAAAATTCAATTTTAAATATATTCATTATGTGGCAGGAAAGTCACTATAATAATGAGACAATTGTAGGAATAATATAGTATAGGATTTTTGCAATGGTTATTTAATGGTTACTGTTATATAATTGTTAGATTTCAGTAGTTTTACACGGGGTGGGGATGTATTTAAAAGTGAGATTCAGAAGTTTGGAGATGTCTAATTATGAAAAACGCACCAGTTTTCGTTAGCGCATTAAAATTATCTTTTTGCGTTTTTAATTTACAATAACAGCCGGATTTGATTTGTGAAAACATGGTCAATCAGTTGGACAGTGGTTATATTGCTCTTGGAATAAGCAACTATTGCACTTTTGACACTGTTGCATGTCTCTTTTTCAAAGGTTTTGTGACACTATGTCCAAATTGATGAAACAAAATTAATATTTTTGAACTGGAACTAAAACGAAAGGTCTTTTGGTGAATTTTATGTGTTTAACGATGTGTTTTTTTTTTAGAAAGAAAAGCTTTAAAGTAAGTAGAAAAAGATTAATAAATAGGTACATTTCTTAAAGTACAGAAGAGGCTATGACTGTTTGAAATAGTCAACTATGACAAAAAAATAGGTATAACCTTATATCGCTTAATTCGTCTCATCGAATCGAAAATTATCCAGATTATCCTTTGACAGGAGCCTACTACGTTATTTTACATATAAGCTATTTGTAAACTTCGCTTATTTCATAGAAATGAGATTTCATGAAAAACTAATGAATTTTGGTATAGGAGCAGGTATAGCAAAGTTGTAGAGAATTTAATTCTGCATCTCATGGTATGAAAATATACAAGGCGTTGCATTTAAAAAAATCGAGATTTTTCAATTTTTCAATTGGCAATTTTGACATGATATTTTGGTCACCCTGTATAACGCAGGCCAGTTTTTGGAGCATGATTCGGAAGAGTCATCCTTACTAAACATCTGATAAAAAATGGGCTTAGTAGCTATTAGTATAACCTGTCAGTATCAGAAAATGTAAGCAACCAATATCGACTAGAAAACCCTTTCAAGCGAGATATCTCAAAAACTGTGAATATTTGAATAGAACTATTCTACACAAAGTACCCTTTATTTTTTAGAATCCTAAAAAAATATAAAAAATGTGCGTTTCCATTTAAGTCTGTCCAGGAAAAGTGGAACACCCTGTATAGTTGAATATATTTTTAATTTGTACATTCCGAGAAATGTGGCAACACAGTAAAAAGAAAAATCCATATATTTCTCATTTTAACATAGATATTGGACTTTCCCGCACTAATGGAACACGCTGTATAACTGGCGCATTCGCCATTTTATTGAACGATAAAACATTGTTATGTTCAATTCTGTCTTGTATTCAGCATATATGAAGCACAAATGTAAAGCTGTCAAGAGAGTACTTAGTGTATTAAATTTAACAAAGGAGTACCTACAAGTATTGACTCATTTGATTTGTCAGTTTTACTTTATTAGAATTTTCTCGTTTGATGAAATTAATTTATTTAGTTATTTTGTCTGCATTCATTTATTTGTGGCATATCAACGCAGTTTATTAGGTACTAAACCAATTGTGAAAGAAAATAAGAGTTACGTAATGTCTGTTTCAATGACAGGGTAGAAACAGTTCCACATGAGCAACCCTTTTGACGCAAGACTTTCATTTAAAAATATCTAGTTAAGAAAAGAAAAAAGTTAATTTAGTTGTCACAAAAACTCGTAAAGAATTACATTTGCTGCCAATTAATCTTAAAAATAGATCTTTAAAAATTAGTATTAAGGAGAAAAGGTCAATTCATCGACGTTAAATGCGTTTAATATTTTTGTGACAGGTTTTCAATTATATTCAGAATATGAATAGGAAATTCGGATCCGTTCAATCAATCTGTGAGTGATTTGTATATAAACAGGAAATCTGCACGTATATGAATAATTTCCATAAACGTTTTATGAAACAACAAGGGAAGTAGTTTGTATATTTAACTTTTTTTATTCGATATAATGGAA